ATAGATCTAACATGGAATTTGGGGTATACCGGTGAAAGCATAGACCACTTGAATACGTAGGTATACATGCCGCCTTATGTTATACATGAAGTACGCTTAAATAACTATGCCTCAAGCTAGAGCTGCCAGTCTATACAGTATGCATATAGAGTCAGTGCTGTATACTTGGCAATACCGTTCTCATAAAATCACTTTAAGTTGCTCTCTCTATATTTACCCGTTGCATATATAGTGATATAATGTTTTATCTTCAAACATTCTCCATGATATATTAGGGCCTACCAAAGTATGCGGGGAAATAGCCGTTTTCCGCCAAGAAAATGCTGACTGTGGTGTTAATAACCGATGGCAAATGCCCGTGGCAAAGGGCGAATACCCAGACAGAGAGACTTATATACAATCAAATAGGGCTAAACTCCCCAACTCTCATTATTATTTTTTTATCTCCAATTTGCTTGGTTTCTCTTTCACTTCTTTGTTCATCCTGCTTTCTTGGATTTTTTTCTCTTTCTCAAGTTTCATCCCTTTTATCCTAATCATATGATGTCTGGGTAAACCCCATTGAATAGCATCAGCCCCGTTGCAGATCCTGTGACGTGCCCTCTTAAATCTCTGGGCACTATTTGATTGTCTGTTGAATTCTTTCATGGTTGCCAAATCGAACCCATGTCTACTTCAGTCACCGCCTCCACCTCCCTCCCTGACAACCCTCGCCCCAGTCGCCTGCGCCGCTTCAGTTTACGAACCTACTCCCCCTTGCCTAGTGGGCAGCACTCGTATAGGCACAGTTTGAGTAGTCGAATTCCTTGGTTCTCGAATCCCGGCTCTATCTCTCCCACGGACTCCGCAGCTCCATGCCCTGAAAGTGACCACCCAAGCCTCTCTCGTTACACCTCAGCGCCCGCCCCGAGTTTCGGTTTTGGTACCGAACTTAATAGCCAAGTATCATCCACCGAGTCCGCCGATTCTATACGTTCCAACGACCTTACCCAAACATTCAATCCTATGGCGCGCCTAAGGAGCGTTTCGTCCGTCCATCGTCCGCCACCTCGCACGTTAGAGCGTACCAACAACTCTCAGGAGCCCACCCCGTCCTCTGAACCGGGCGCCACTCCAAGTAATGCGACCGAGCCCACCAGCGAACCCGCCAGCGCTCCTGTAGATGGGCAGGTGACCCCCTCAAAATCGGAGACCAAGGCGACCATTCGATTCTTCCCCTACCAAGACACCCTCCAGAGTTCGAGGCCCTCGTTACCTTTCGTCCCAGTCGCCCGGACCCTGCCATCAGAGAGCTGTGTTGTTCGCGTCGGTCGATACTCGGAGCGTGATGGTGTACCTCTCCCCAACCCGACTGAACCCTCGGACGCCCCCGTGGGGTTCAAATCCAAGGTCGTTAGCAGGAAACACTGCGAGTTTTTGTACGTGAATGGACAGTGGCACATCAAGGATGTTGGTAGTTCTTCGGGAACATTTTTGAACCACATGCGCTTGAGTCAGCCGAATATGGTGTCCCGTCTGTACTCTATCAAAGATGGTGATATCGTGCAGTTGGGTATCGACTTCCGAGGGGGGGAAGAAATGATCTTCCGATGCGTTCGGATTCGGATTGAATGTAATCGATCGTGGCAGCAGAAGCCTAACGAGTTCAAGTAGGATCTCACCTATTGTCCGGATTGTCAAGTGATGCTAACAAGTATTCTAGCAAAAACACAGAAAGCCTTATTAAAAACTTGGGCAAGGGTGAGACGGCTGATTATTCAGGTTGTCGTGAATGCTCGATTTGCCTTGGCTCTGTCTTGGTTCGTTTCTTTTTTTTTGTCCCTTCCTACCAACCCTACACCTACTAACTATAATAGCGGCCCTATCAGTGTTTGTTCATGGCAGCGTGCGCGCACGTCTGGCATTACAAATGTATCAGTCGTTTGCTCCACTCCCCGGATTACCCAATGTTCCAATGCCCCAACTGCCGTGCATTCACCGATCTCAACGCCGAGGTGGATGACTCGAATGACGCAGAGGAAAAACGAGAAAAGGAACCGACAGAAGATAGGGCATCCAATCACTCTTCTGACCAGCTCGGAACGGAGGCCCCTTCAGCCGTCGAAACAAACAGCACAGAAGGACCGCCCGATCAGCTTGGAGATCTTGCCGAAGAAGAAAACTTGGTCAACAATGTAGAGAACCTGCATCTACAAGATGACCAGCAAACGGATGATACTCGAAGCTCAGCCTCGCCAGTGCCTAACTCAAGCACCGATGACCTGGCCCGCAGCGCCACTATCAACATTCCCGGATGGCAACCGACACAACCACTCAGTGTGCCGTCTGGTCGCCCGTCACAACTACGATCCGACACGCCTACATCTGACGACAACCCGTTGACTCCGCGAAATGACTCGGGCCCTTTGGCCTTTGACGGCCGAGCAGGAATGCCGTAATACGTCGGTTCGGATCGAATTAATATCTGGAAACCCAGGGTTTCGGGCATCTTAATACATATTTATCCTTCTTTTCGGCATCTACATCTACCCTGCTGTAGGGAGTTATCATCTGAGAATTCTACGATATCACCATTGTGAAGAAGCATATCTGCGTTGATTTCTCCGGGTGCACACTCCATATACACCGTTTGCATTGTTCAATAGCGTCTACCTCTATCATATAATTTGATTTGTCATGGCGCCCCAGCGTTCTATTTTCTCCTTTATCCCCTGGCCCAGACCCCCACTGATACCCATTCGAGATCTGGACTATTGTTTTGAATATTGGCACATTTGATGAACCAAGAACATGCTTTCGTTAGCCTTTGGATTGTTTTTAATTATGACTAGGTAATAACACGTTCGGTTTAACTCATCTACTCGCACCGCAGCTTTTCCCCTGTCTGCCTACATGCTTAGGTAGTCCTGGAAGCCTCCACCTTGAGCGCATAGTCGACTTCATGGAACACAACAGGGACCATACTCGAGAAGGTCCAAAGCTAGCAAGGTCATCAGAGGGTATCCTGTGTTTCTTAGCGAGATAACTTACCCTGCTTTCTACCACTTTCCAGTGTTGACTGTCAAGCTGGGTCTTAGGCCGATACACATCAAGTCGTTCTAGGCGGTTCTCGGCACCCCATATGTCTAAGAGCGATAGGACAAAATGCTTGTTGGCATGATTTAGTCGCAGAATACCAACACGGATTCTCTGCAGGTAATGCTCGCTGATGAATTCTGTAATATCCATCTGACGCATGACGAAATATGTGCTGGGAGTGCCGTAGAGGTTGAGGGGTATTCGATATAGATAATGAAGAGCCTCTGTAGTAATTTTCTTGTTGAGGAGAAGAATACATGGTGTATATCGCTTCACATAAGGTCGAGGAATCGTACAAAGAGGACCACTGGCTACTGATGACCATTGGTCACTCAGCTTTCGGTAGCTTTTTACATATTCATTTGGGCTGAGCAAATAAGCGTATATTATCAGGCGAATCTCCGATGGTAGATCAAGTAAGGAGGCCATGGTAATTTGCAGTAATCAAGTTGTGAAATGCTCATGTCCAAGTCTGTTCTTACCCCTCTTTTCTCTCGATGGGCCCCCCGAGATCCCATTGGCTGTGGCCTGAGTGTAATACAAGAGCCTCACTACAGTGATGATTTCACCCGTGGGCTTCTTCCCCGGCTTACGGTGATACCCACAACTCGAAAAGGCCGGGAATTCAAACAAATTAAATTTGTATCGACATGTCAAGCAAAAACAGAAGTTTTAACGATCACTTATTTCGTTATTGAAACAAAAACAAACAGGAAGCTCTCTATGTATAGTTCCTATAGTTCCACCGAAGCATTTACCTATACTTCATCTAATAGATATCATAACTTGTAAGGCTAGCCACTCAGTTGAACTTTCACCCCCTCATCAACAGTCGTGGGCTCCTGCCCAATCAACCACCTCAAAACACTGGGATTCCCTTTCAATCCACGGCGATTGTAAGATAAAACCAACCTCTGAGCCTCATCCCTTGTGGTATCAGGACGTAAATCCCCTTTAAGGCCGGCCATCTCAACTCCGAATGCACATAATCCCCACTATACACGCGGCTCTCCCCGGCATACAAGAGCCTGAGAATCTTGCTAACACCCTCTTCAAAAGTGGGAGTTTGAATCTCTATCTTCTTATCAATATGCTCAATAACCTTAATAAACTACTGAGCGCTTTGAAATATCGTGCCCCATAGTAGCAGGTAGGCAGGTAGGCAGGTGGTAGGTCGAAAATAAGAGAATAGAATAAGGGAAGAAGTACTACTCCGTATACAGGACCATTGCATACTAGCGTTTTATCTAAAAAAGCAAACAAAGATGGGACAGGAGTTTAGCAATCGATCTCCGTATGAGGCCAACATAATCGCGATCAATCATGCATCTGGTGACATGACATGTAGAAGCTAGGGTTAGGTTAGAAGGCATCATTTCTCAGGCGCCCACTCAGACTTAAAATATATTCTTTTTCTTAATCCAGAATCCAAGTGTGGTATTATTAAGTGTATATTGAATGATAGATAGTCTGATTGACGCCGAATCCACCTTTCTAGTCTGAGTTCTTTTGAATGAATGTATAGCTGGTTGTTTAGTGAGAAAGTAGCGAGGTAAGAATATATTGAACGTGGCAGATGATGATTGCCGATAAGCTCGCATCTCAATTAATTCCTCTCTACTTGAAATGCATATCTTTAGGCCTCCAAAGCAGCCTGTAGGGGGGTCAGTCAGTATCAGATGACATCTGTATTGGTATGCATACGATATCTATAAAAGGATTTGACCATGACTGAACAAATCCATTGATTTTGTGATAGACTTCTGCCACATTTGATGGCTTAAATATAAAACCGATTGCCAAGATCATAGAATGATCCAAACTTGAAAGCCAACAGAAAATCTGCTCCTTCTGGAAACATGTGAGGAATTCGTTCCGTTATCTTCATCCTGTACCTATAATCTAACTGAGGTAGACATACTATGCAATTTCTACAAGCGTCGTCTGGTCGGTTTGCAAGGGAACTTCATATAACTTGGGCACTTTTGAGAGATAATGCCACCGCACATTTGGGAAATGCTGTTGCATGTCTCACTGCTCGACTTGTGGCCTCTCCACTGGCTCCAATACAGTATCTAGAGATCATCCCACCGTTTGCTCTCGCCACGATCGCATTTGCCTATGTCTTCGACATTGCCAATCAGATTACATCAATAGAAGAAGATGCCATCAATAAGCCCTTCCGACCCATTCCCGCTGGGCTGCTGACCAAAGAGGAAGCATCACGGCGCTGGTTCCTCAGTTGGTCTCTGCCCGCTATCGCAGTTTTATGCATTTCGGGACGCGATGCAGCTGTGTATTTGGTCATCTGGGTGGCGTTACATTATGCCTGGCCCAGATTCAATCACTGGGTGATGCGCAACGCTTTCACTGCCGTGGGGGTGACAATCCAGCTGAAGCTGCTTGACGCTGTAATCAGTCATGCGGTTCCGACAATCCAAATGGTTCCCCATCTCGATGTCCTACTATTCTTGTGGTTTGCCCTTACCATCCATATCCAGGAATTCCATGATGTGGAAGGTGACCGCCAACAAAAGCGACAAACACTGCCGTTGATTCTACCGCCGAAAGCAGTGGACCTCCTACGAGCAGGTACAGGACTTCTCATCATCACCGAAGCCTGTGTGAGTCTTGTTATTAGAATTTCTCTTCTTCTTCCCACTCCTTCCCTATTAAGAATCTCCACAGGAGTCGTCCACTTGGTCTTTGCAACTATTCTGGCCACTCGCTTGGTAGTATGCTCTTCGAAAGAGATGGATCAGATCACATACCATTATTACTATTTTCTAGCAACATATACCATGGTTTTCTTCCATGTGTAGAGGGTTTCTAGTCAAAGAGTCTGTACTCTGATTTCCGATTCACGGTCTTCTCCTCCCTCTTTTCCTTTTTTTCGGGTTGCTAGAGAATATGTTTTTATATAAATAGAAATGAACCAATACGATCGTCTTTCATGGTATTATATTTCTATAGGCTGTCAAGCGCCCACAAACAGTAGTCCAAATTTGGTATTTAGGATGGCAGCTGTCTCAGATCGCTCATCTTGAACTTGGTCACTTAGCGATACCAATACTGTTTATAGCTGGTGCGAGTTAATCAGCTGTTTCAGTGACTAGAGACCTTAGGGAAAGAATATACGGGCCACTTTGAATACTAAACACAGAAAGCTACGCGGTTCAAGACACAAATATAGAAACTTATACCAAATACATTTGGAGTAGACAGTGTCTTTATTAATAATGCGGTGATCAGCCTGATGATGAGGTCCAGAGAGAAGATAAAATGCCCGAACTTCTTGTCGGTGATTATGTCCATAAGCGAAAAGATAGCCATCCGCACGATTTCGTGCAGGTGCACTTTCATTGGCTCAAATCTAGGCCGAACTACGCTTTTTACGACATAGATGAGACCACCACACGGAGACGTTGACACATTAATCCCATTACAGCATATATTCTGATAACCACCTTGTTACGATGAATACAGTCGACCTGCTCTATATACAGTCACGTGTTTACCGGCACTAAGATACCCAAGTGGGTCCGGAACCAAAGAGTCGCAGGACCCGCTTTCAACCTCGGAATGTTGACGATTTCAATTTCCCCCAGATTACAGGGCTTGATTGAATACTAAGAGCCGAAGACGACCATCTCCTGGGATCCACGGACAGGGATCAGCCTCACAGATCAATCTGGGCTCGATCGGCTCAGACCTTAAGCAAGATGAGGTTAAATTTCAGCGAGCCACCCACTCCAACCTTGAGTCGCCAAAACACTACAATACAAGGTCATCATCAACGGCGTGGTACTCATCCCCACCGCCTGTCATCGCGGGCAAAGCCAAGAAGGTGAGCTACTCATTTGATATCTTCTAATCACCCACATGTGCTAACATTGATCAGATGGCCACTTGTCTTCCGCTTTATCAAAGGTGCAATCCATGGTGCCATATTAGTCCCGGTCTTTCTGCATGCTGTATTCACAGCCCTGATTGTTTACTTGGACACATACGTATTCGAGACTGTCGGTCTACCTAGCACGATCGTATGTATGCCCAACCAACCAGACAAAATATCAACTAAACATAACAAAAATAGATCCCATCTTTATCTATTGTCGTAGGTCTGATGCTTGTCTTCCGTAACCAAACGTCCTACAATCGATTCTGGGACGGGCGGAATGGAATGAACACGCTCAACACATGCGTGCGTAACCTCGTCCGTACAATCGCAACAAATAGCTACAACTCAAAGCGGGGACCACCCACCGCCGCAGAGCGCGAGGATATCGAGCGTACTGTCCGAATCCTTATGGCTATCCCGTATGCCGTGAAAAATCATTTGCGCGCTGAATGGGGCGCTGCTTGGGTCTTTGGTAATGCTGCTGATGAGAATCTGAACATACATCCGTCCACTCTTTATAACCCCGAATATGCAAACCTGTTACCTGCGGGCCTTGAGGGCCATGAAGATGAGGGACTAGGTCTCCCTTTCCAGTTGACTTTCTTTATCGATGGGTTTATCAAGCGTGGCGAGGAGCGTGGCTGGTATCCTGCGCCTGGCGCCAGTCAGATGCAGGCTCAGTTGAATACCTTGACTGATGCATATGGGAGGATGGAAACGATAAAGTTGACTCCGATCCCAGTGGCTCATTTGTAAGATTCATGACTCTGATGCGGTTGAGTTATGCTTGTTTGTTTCAGTTACTGACTTTGAAATCAGGATTCACCAAAAGCAAGTCCTTGCCCTGTTTGGCTGTGTGTTACCGTTTGCTATGGTCGATGAGATGGGATGGTGGGCCGTCCCCATTGTCAGCCTTGTTATCTTTACACTCTATGGTATTGAAGGAATTGGCTCGCAGCTGGAAGATCCCTTTGGCTACGACAGAAACGATATCAAAATGGACGCTATTGTCGGTGACTCCAAGACTGAAATCGACGTTGTTTTGGCTGAGTGGCGCACGCACTCGAAAGCCATGGAGGCGTTAAGAGAACAGCCCGCTGGCGCAGTTCATGGCAATTTATGCTTAACGCCTGATCGAAATGAATCAGGAAACGGAAGTGTGGACGGGAAGTATACGCCTCCAGACTTGTTTTTGAGGTTGAGGCCGAGTACTGGTAGGTGAAAGTTTGGATATAGAATATCTATCGGGTGTGTGTATAGGCACAATTATCTACATGTATAGCCTCAACTTAGCATTAGAAATATCAATGTATCTGTGAACTAGAATGAAAGTCCACGCAATATTCTTCATGGACTGAATGTACCTAACCTGGCTTAAGGCTTGCTAGTTCTACTGTAGGTGAGGATATGGAAATTGACATGGCGGGATTTCACTCGCCATGAATTGAATTATCATAAGTACACAACTTTGGTCTATATCGGCTGGGTATCTAATGCGGTAATCAAGAATAGCTAAGCAGGTGCATCGAAATATCATACAGGCGGCTCGAGCGCCAGAACGCCTTCCAGTATTGAATCCGGTGTAACATCGGCGAGAACATCAGATATCGCATGTAAATTACTTCCATATTGCAGACTGCGGTCTTCGCCAGGGGGAGTGACAATAATACGATGGCGAAAGACTTTCCTGGCGGCTAGGGCCACGATGGAAGGAGTCAGATAATCGATACCATGCAAAGGAGCTAGAAGTCTGAGGAGTAAAATCAATAAAATGAGCTAGATGTACGTGGTTTCGCTGAGGATATATTTGGACTCACTGTGCAAATCGAGAAAATTGAATATTTGCATTGGCAGATACGCCACCTGCAACAGCACGACTGAGCCGCAGAAATACAACGATATCCTGGACGTATCGAACGACTTCTGCGCTCATGCTCACCGACGCACTTGTTTCCCGAAGTTGTTCCATCACCTGTGAGTTGATCAACCGGTATTAGATCGCGATGTTCAGTTCGTGATTCTAAAATCGAAGTAGATTGGAATAACGTCAAACTTACTAACGGGCTGACCGTAACACTCTTCGATTGCTTGCCCTTCGACTTATGAATAACAGAGGAAGCGGAAACTTGTCCATCTGAAAGCCAGTCATTCTCTTCAAGATAAGTATACCCGTCCTCTGGGCTGTGGAAATGAGAAATGAAGAGATTATCATTCTACTACGGGATTAGCTAAAGTAGAGTAACCAAAATGCGGGCGTACAGATAAATACTTACCATGTGCGGTTTCAAAGGCGGTTTGAGCTGATCGAAATCTCGTGCCACAAGAGGGATGAAAAGGAAGTCCTGAGGTGCAGCTAAGGTCCCGCTCTCGGTGACCAACTCCCTCGATCGCATTAACTATCCCGCTTGTCAATATTTTCTTTACTGAGTTGTCAATCGGAATACATACCTGCAACATGTTCATTTGGATATCATCACTGACAAAATTGAAGTTCTTGGCGACTACAATATTGACAATGTTACTGCTGAGTTGTGAGAAGGGAGTGAGTGATTTGCTGTAATCCCCAAGACTCTTATAGGAAGAACGTTTGCTTGACTGATATTATTAGCTTGTAGCCGTGGAATCATAGCAAAACAATTGAAATATCAACATACTGATTCAGTGGTCAACCACGGACGCGATGGCCGATAGTTTGCGCGCGCATCCGGGGTGAGAATGTCAATAAAGATGTCGTCAATAGATGTTGCAGATGAACAGTCAAGGATGCAATATGAATAATTGAATGTAGTTGAGCCGATCTGTCTTTCATTAGAGATTATCTCGATATCCTGGGTGCATTGACATACTAAGGCGAGTTCTTTGGCCAGGTCATTAATACAGTGGGGGGTGGTCTCAATCAAACAATGTTCGCGGGCAACAAGGCACAGTAAAATGGCTACTTCAAGGTCAGATAATTGTCGAGCAATATCAGCAAGATCTGTATAATCCATGTTTGAAAAGAGGACCAAGTTGGCCAATGAATATGCAGCAACTATCAAAGAGAAGTCGAGGATTGTGGTGGGGAATTTCCGCCTGGTAAATAAGGCGATAAAACCACCAGATCAGGTCTAGCGCGCGTGACCCCATCCTCCCGATCAACAGCTCGAACATCCAACAACTGCCCAGGTAGAGGATTCAGTGCCTCATCTGTGATCAAATCCACAGTCATGCCACCCAATCCACTTGCAAATTGGGAAAAGGTTGGAGACAGCTTTTATCGCAAGATTGCCGTTTATGACGCCATCTTCGAGGACGACATCGAGTTAGAGAACTACATTGTCGCGGGCGCCCCCTACGGAGGAGCTATTGGTAATTCCCCATTTTTGGAGAAACCGGAGATCTGGACTAACGTGGAAATCAGCGCTTTATCGCGACGAGAGCAAGCCATTCAGGCTTCGCGATGGACAGGGTTCCCGTTCCACAATCGATGTTTATTCATCCTCTGGACAGAAAATCAATCGTATAAACGTTTGTTGGCATTTTATGGTTGAATCCTAAAGACAATACTAATTCGTTTTAGTGGGAGCAAGCCACTATTCGTGGGCTAGGCTGGTCTGATAAGGAAGAGCTCCTGGTCGTCTCTGAGGACGGAACAGTGCGACGCTATTTCGGATTGGACGGCGAGTTTACATCCTTCTCTCTCGGAAATGTGAGACATAGTGAATGCCTGCTCTAGACATACTATACGGAATCTAACAATGTAACAGGGCGCCGAAGAGTATGGCGTGAGAGCCTGCCAGTTTTGGTCATCTGGCCTCGTTGCATTGCTGTCCAATAACCAGCTAATTGCCGTATC